CCACGCCTCCGGGGGCAGGCAGGTTCATCCAGCGGGCAGGCCCCACGACTGGCCCGATAACGGTGGCCCCGTGCTCTCACTCTGCCACCCTCTGTGTCTGTGGCGGGCAAGGGAGCGGGACCTGGGCGGGGGAAGGACTGAAGGGGGGAACACCGCACATGTGCCTCTGGCAGCTCTTGGCATGTTTATCGGTGCGCGGGGGGGGGCTTGCCTCAGGCTCAGAGGGTTTTATTTATTTATCTTCCTTTCAAATATTGAAAGCTGCATCACCCAAATATCTCCGTAAGAATTTTGTACCTTGCTTCGTGAAGGTTGAGTTTAAACTCCGTGAGGCAAGGGTCCCCCACCTTTTAGATTCTGTGGGCACACGGTGAATTCGGAAACAGGGTGGAGGCCACGCGGTGCAGTGTCAGCCGCAGAATGGCCACTGGGGGAGGCGGAGCCACAGAGATGGGGGGGCAGCCCCTGTGCAGGGGAGCAGGTTGGTGATTTTTAAAAAAATAATAATAATGGGGGAAACGGGTGAGAGGGAGAGAATAAAGCCAGCGCCATGAGGGCAGTTGCCACTGGCAGGACGTTGTTTCAATCTGTACAGCCAGTCAGGTCTCCAGTGGCCGGTCAGAAGCCCTGCTGTGCAGACTCCCCACCTGGCCCCAGCTGTTTTCTAAAACCACTTGGTGAGCGCCAAGAAAGGTGTCGGCTGCGTCGTGCCCACGACTGGGGACCCCTCAAGGGCCAAGCTCTGACAGGTGGCGGCAGCCCTCCGGCCCCTGTTCCTCGTCGGCTGGCAGGAGAAGAATGATTCAGAAACCGCCGTTGCCTCAGTGTCATCTCCTGGTGAAACCCCAGCGCCTCTGCTGAATAGGACAGCCGTGCGATGTCACTTCCAGGCTCACCCAGAAATGATAACGGGCTGTCAACAGGACGGCACCCCCTCCCCCCCCTCCCCGGGTCTCCCAATGGGTGGCAGCAGCCCGCTGGGAGCCCTACTGGCCAGCAGCCTGGCCAAAAGAGCCAGCCCGTCCCCGCCCTCTTCCTCAGGAGTTCTCTCTCTGGCTTCTGAACGGCTGAGCCCGACGGCGAGAGCCATCCAAGGCGCAGGACACGGGGCTTGAGTGCGTATGCAGTATGGCCGCTGCAAACAAGAATCGCTTCTGGGTATGAGAACAGAGCTCGTCATTGACTGCTCAGGACTTTATGGGTAAACGTGGTGTTTGAAGTGTGGCAGTAAGTCCCCCCCCCCGATGGACACTCCCTCCGCCTTTTGTGCCTCAGGGAAGACCACTGTGTGGACTCCTGCACCCACTGCTCCAAATTCTTGAAGGAAACGAGAAAGAACAGAGCTGTGAGACTGTGTACCGCTTTGCTGGAATCAGCGCTCTCCCCGATGGCGTCGCCTCAGGACACCTCTGGGCATGCTTCGATGTCAACCCCTACTCCGGGGTCGACGGCCGCAATGTCTCCGGCACCAGCCCTCACCGATGTTGATCGACCAGTGCTGAAACGCTCGGTCCCGACGTCTCAGTCCGATGCCCACACTCCCGCCAAGAACCGCCGGGAGAGCAAGGACGCCAAGCCTGTTGCGCACAAGAAGCTCAAGAAGGACTCCCCCAGTAAGGCATTTTTGACTCCTCAGTGTATGCCGGAGTCAACCTCTGTGCCTGGAGCCACTTTGCTTGACTCATTGGGCTGCGCACAGCCCACCTCTGCTGTGCACCATCCTCACCTCTGCTGCACCCAATTCAGCTCACGGATTCTGAGCAGGACATGGACTTAACTCAGGTCTCTCGAACCTCCAGTGTCAAGAGCCTTTATTCGAGCCAAGGAGCCTGTGATCTTGCACAGCCTTCCCCACGCTGTTTGCCTGCCGATGATCCAGGCTGACCCTCGGGGCCACTTCTCCCCCCACTGGCGCCCTGGGATCAACGCCAGTGGCAGTACCTGTACGGAGCATATCCGTTGTCAGCGAATGTGCCCTGGCTCCCACCCTGAATGCTGATGGAATGGGACCGCCAATCCACATCTTCTCGGCTGTCTCGGTATCGAGAACCTGCCCCAATGCCGGAGTTTCTACAACCCCAGCTATCAGTACTGACAGGCAAGCGTCCCAAGTAGAAACCTACTGCACCGACGCAGACAGCTTCCTGGTCGACACCGATCCAATTGGCACCAGAACTGCCGATGCTCTTTTCAGATCATTCCAAACAGTCTAGTTCTTCTGACTCACAATCGGGATGAGAGACTGGAGCAACCAGCTGGCCCCTCCCTACTGCAGAAAGTGTCAGAGGACCTTCCAATATCACCATCAGAGGATCTGAAGTCTTATGGGGAGTTTATTAAATGGATGGCCGACACCCTGACCCTGTCGACGGTGCAACCACCTCCAGCAGTCACTGATTCAGTTTTCGACAATGGATACTTCAATAGCCATCGCTCTCCCCATGACTTCAATTCGGTTGCAACAGTGCCTATCACCCAGAGACTGACGGCCAGACGGAGCGGGTTAATCAAACCTTGGAGCAAAAATCTCCGTTGCTTCACCAAATTATCAACAAAGACAATTGGGTGGATCTGCTGCCCCTGGCCGAATTCTGTTATAACAAACACTTCTAAGATTAAACGTGGAAAATTTTATATTGCTTCTGTCCTTCCATTCCCGCTTGCTCGCAGCTCAGCAGCTTTGCGTAAACATTGCCTCGGAGACCGTGGGAGCTGGCTTGGCTAGATGGTGTTATCAGTCTGGCCTTGTAAGGATGGGAGGGCTTGCGGTCCACCACTGGTGTGAATCTTTCTGCTCTCAGGGGCCCTGCGAGTCTCCCGCTCATTATGTAACTGCCCACTGGGAGAATTCCCACACGCACGCTCGAAGTTCATTTGCTTAGCTATTCGTCTCGTCTGGCTATATGTACGGATGTTCCCACCCTATAGTTATTCCTAACAATAATCCTGTGGATATGGTACCGGTTTTGTACTCTAATAAAGCATAATGGTTCTCAGGAAACGTGTGTAAAGAGTTACTTGCTGTGGAACCTGACAGAAATTGTTAGGAATGTTTTTTCTTCCATCGAGCCAAGTCTCTCACAAATGAGATGAGCGGTCCCGGTGGGGCAGGGGTCGCTACCTCGACAACTACGTCAGTGGCCACCCCGGTCACGATGGTGCCTGCCCCGGTCACGTCGGCACCTACACCGAGCACCGTGGCGGTGGCGGTGACTTCCCCAACAACGACGGCAGGAGCGGAGGCACCAGTGATGGCGGCGAGCCCAGACGGCGAGCCCAGGAATGCCAATCTCTATGGATGGAGGGGCCACCCCGAGATCGACAGTATCGTTTACCCCGGTGCATTTGGGAAAAGGGGTGACCTACCACCGTAAAGAGAGGGATTGGGGCCGGCATCTGGGCGACTCCACGCAAACTACCTGGTTGTTGCCAGGGAGTAGGAGTCAGGACAGTATCTTTGACCCGCGGACTAGCTTGGGGAGCTTTCGAATGCCCGCGAGTTGACACACCTCCTTCCCATCGAGATTGTCAGTGAGTCCAGGTTTGGACGTGGACGAACAGTTCCCACAAGAAAAAACACCTTTGGGAATCTCACTCCCACTCATCCTGCAGCTGTTGTCCTTCACTCCCGGTAGCCTTCACTCCCGGAGGAATCCTCCTTTATTTACAGCAAAGAGAGCAAAAAACCTTAGAGATTCACTTGTTAGAAGCAGGCTACCACCGCCCCCCCTCCTCCTCCGGGCCAGCCGCAACCCCCGGCGCAACCGGTGGTTCCAGTTCCCCCTCCTCCCCCCGCGATGCCACGACCCAAAGACTTGTTGGATGTAACGTTTGTTGGCAACCCAGAGAACCTGTCATTCTTTATAGTGCGGGTAATGAAGTTTGTCGAACGCCGGGCTCACTTGTTCCCCGACGAGGAGACGCACATGGATTTCATCACTTCCCGCCTGCGGGGTGCAGCGACGAGCTGGTATGTGGGGCTCCACAACCTGGAGGTGAGGGAGTTGGAGAGTGCTGATGCCTTCATGTGGGCGCTGTGAGCCCGGTTCGAAGACCGCACGGCGAGCGAGAAGGTGGAGGCGTACCTTCGGACGTTCAAGCAAGGCAAGTTAACAGTCCAGGAATATTCCACTGAGTTCCATCGGCAGGCAGCCAAAATCCGAGGCTGGACAGATCCTGTGTTTGCCCAGCAGTACCGATTGGGCCTGAATGCGGAGATCCGAAACGCGGTTTTGGGGACCTGAGACCTGCAGACCTTGGATGCGTGAATGCAGGAGGCTGAGAGTGCCGAGAGCCATTTGCGCACTATGCGCCTGGATAACGCTGTTGCGGGCGTAAGAACAGCACCGGTACATCCCCACCCCAAGGCAAAAGCCAGGCCCCAGGGGCCGTCGGTCAGGAAGCAGCGGATGAAACAAGGGCTGTGCCTAAGATGTGGGGATCGTGGCCATTTCGCTGCTACCTGCCCTTTGGGAGAGGGTAGAGGAGGGCCGGGGAGGAAGGTGACAAGCGCAGGAGCGACTTCCCACCTAGGAAGAGCACGGCAAAAGCGAAAGGGCCCCGTGCCCTCCAAACCAAGGTGGAGGACGAGTCGAGCGGGGAGGAGGAGACGGAGCCGGCGGGAAAAGACCAGGTCCTGCTGTAAGTGGCACGGAGTAGCAGGACCCCACAACGGAAGCGCCAAGAGTGGTGAGCAGCTACCCACCCCTATTTTTCATGACTGTGACTTTAATAAACCCCGCGTTGGGCGGCACGCACATTAGAGTCCGGGGCCTAATCGATTCGGGGTGCGGGCGAGATTTAATTAACCCTTCCCTGGTCGCTGGCCTGGATGCAGATGTGGTCAGGTTGGCCGAGCCCTTAGTATTTACCCAAATGGATGGATCCTCGATGAAAGAGCCCTGTAAATACGAGACTGTACCGTTACGCGTGGGGGCTGGGGACCATTGGGAGGAACAGACCTTTATTGTGTCCCCGGGGGCCAGATTCCCCTTGGTACTAGGGAACCCATGGCTCCACGGGCATGATCCATATATTTTGTGGGGGGACAGGGTAGTAAAGTTCATCTCCCCCAGATGCCAAAGCCATCTCTGGAACCCGAAGTGGGGGGTGGCACCTGGCAGTGACCAGATTCGAGCGTGCTTAGCTGCAGAGGAACTGGGAAAAATCCCTCGGGAATATAGAGATCTGGCTCAAGTATTTGGCGAAGCCGAAACTGATGAGCTGCCCCCCCCCCATCGCAATTCTGACTGTGCCATAGAGCTGCTGCTGGGGCACAAAATGCCCAAGGGAAAAATCTATGCTATGAGCCCCTGGGAGAAAGTGGAGTTGCGGAAGTTTATTGACAAAAACCTTGCGCGAGGTTTCATCCGTCCTGCTTCTTCCCCGTACGCAGCCCCTGTCCTCTTCCGGAAAAAGAAGGATGGGGGTTTGCGTCTGTGCACCGACTATCGGGGTTTAAATGCTGTCTCCTCTACAAATGCATACCCAATGCCACTCCATTCTGTCCACATCCTTCTTTTTTAAATAATCATTTAATTTTTCATAAAGACAAACATAACACAGACATACATAAATGGGGGGATTCTTATTATATCATCAATTTACATGTTTTCCGTGTTCCACCTTGTATTCTTATATAAATCTTTTGCATAGGTTTAAAATAAAGATTTTTATAATCTTTTAAAAGGTTGTAAGTCTGTATATTTTATCTATTCTATTCTTCAATCCATTTACAGAACCTTGACCATGTATTTTCAAAGGTTGCTTCTGTTTTTCCTTTCCGCAGCACAGGACTGCTGTTCTGCTGTTGAGTTTCCTTGGCTGTATTTTATGCTGGTGTGCGTGTTTTAATTTTTGTATGTACACCATTTTGGAGATTACTGTTGTGAAGAAAAAAACCTTTTAATCGAGTAGTACTTCTGGGTGCTTGCAGCTGAATGCTGTTACTATAAGCTTCAGCAATGCAAAGACCCAGCCTCTCTCCTCTGTGTAAAAAGTAGCATAATGTATTTTTCGTGGCTAATTGACCTTCTCCCCGGTGAAGATACCGGGTGGTTCTCAGGGTGCTCCAAAGAATGGGGGCTGGATGCAATATATGGTCACTGTAACTGTGAACACTTCTGGTCACAGTGGGAGCCGTACGGGACACCAGGCCGCTCTGCGGGCTCATTGACAGCAAGCAGGAAGCATTTTTCTTCCAAATGATTAATGGTTAAGGACTGCTTCCCAAAGCCTGCTCCCTGCAAAACTTGGCATTCCATCATCACTAACTTTCACCTTGACTGGCTAGGCTTGCCGGTTTCCCCCGTACCTGTTACTGAGTTTGTAGAAAGATCATTCAGAAAAGGTTTTCCAACGCTATGCAAGCGTTTGTCTGTGTGCATTTCCTTGGTTTTAATTGCTGCCTGGAGCATTATGCTGTGTCGTAGGGCGGGGGGGGGGGGGTGGCTAGAAAACAGGGGTGCTTCCTATACGATCCAGTGAGTGGGTGTGTCTGAGGGTGCCTCTGTGTGGAGCAGGAATCCTGCCCTGGCGGTGTAAAATTGTGCGGCAAGCGCCAATAGTGGCCCTGTCAGGGGGGAGCAGAGGCTGCCTCCTCAGCTGTGAGGAAATGTCAGCTACTAATGGCTCATGCAACATGATCATGGTTGTCATAGAAGATTTCTGGCATGGTTAAGGAAAGGTTCTAGCTACCGAGGACACCCCTACCCCCTTATCACTGGTGTTGTTATACTTTCCAGCATTTTGGGAGGCTGGTTTTTTTCTTCTTAAAAATAAGAAGAAGAAGAGAAGAGTTGGTTTTTATAGCCCGCTCTTCACTGCCCAAAGGAGTCTCAGAGCGTCTTACAGTTGCCTTCCCTTCCCACAACAGGCACCATGTGAGGTAGGTGGGGCTGAGAGAGATCTGAGGGAACTGTGACAGACTTCATGTGGAGGAGGATGAATGGGGAATCATACCTCCCTGTTCTCCAGATTAGAGTCTGCCTCTCACCAGTTTGGTGTCGTGGTTAAGTGCGCGGACTCTAATCTGGGAGAACCGGGTTTGAGTCCCCACACCTCCTCCACTTGCACCTGGCTGGATGACCTTGGGCAAGCCGTAGTTCTGACAAGAGCTGTCCTTGAAAAAGAGCAGTCTCTGTCAGAGTTCCCTCAGCCCCACCTACCTCACAGGGTGTCTGTCTGTTGTGGGGAGGGGAAGGGAAAGGAGTTTGTAAGCCGCTCTGAGACACCTTCGGGTAGTGAAGGGCCATGGGGTATGAATCCAATCTCCTCTTCTTCTTAACCACGACACCAAGCTGGCTCTCATTTCATTATATGCTGAATTTCTTAAAATATGACATGGATAAAGTCTGCCCATAGAGAAAGGGTGCTCATTAGGCTGTGGCATAATACCAAGAAAAGACAACCGAGACGGGGGAGAGAGTGAAATAGGAAGAGCCACCTAATTTCTGAGAGGACTACATGTGTGCATTTGGTCTTTCATAGCATTTGTACGGTGAGATGGTGGTGGCCCCGGAGGTGTATGATCCCAGGCTGAGCGGCTTAACCCTCTGAGGAATTTCATCTCTAGAGAGTGAATTGTTGGAGGTCCAGGTTCACTGTGGCCAGTGGCTTTTTGTTCCTGCTTGAGTATGAGCTGGCAGTTTTTAATGGGGTATGTGGCATTTGCGGGGAATGAGCAAAGTCTGCTGTCCTTAGAATGCTGCACAGCCCGTTGGGATTCTCTGTCCCTCTGAAGCCTGTTCTGTTCTTTCAGGACACCTGACTGACAGCGAATGCAACCAGAGGCCTGTCTCCAAAAAGGGCTCACTGGCAGACCGCAAGAGGAGTTCCAGCAGGTCTCGGAGGAAGGGGGACGAGTCGCAGCCGTCGGGATATCATAGTGAAGGCAAGGGGGGAGGGAATGGCGCTGGCCCCTTTCTCCTCTGTGTCTCGGTCTCTCCAGTCCCCTTTCTGGCTCTGTGTCTTCAGGAAGGTGATGTGCATAGTCCCCGTTGGCTTTAAAGGGAAGGGATCTGTGTCCTTCAAGCTGCCTTCTCCTTCTCTTAAACTGCAGGGGAAACACTGAAGGAGAAGCAGGCCCCTCGGACTGCCCCCAAAACGTCCAGCGGCACCAGCAGCACCAGCACCAGCAGACTGCGGGACTTCAAGGAGACCGTCAGCAACATGATCCACCACAGCAGCAGGCCCTCGCAGCCAAGCCAGGGCTCTCCACGCGGAGGGAAAGGCCAGGCCTCCGAGGGGCAGCCACTGCCCAGAGCGGTGCCCTCTCAGCCTCGGGACTGGGAGATGGAGAGCACCGGCAGCGAGGCCAAGTCGAGCTCATCGAGCAAGTACCGCCCCACCTGGAGACCCAAAAGGGAGTCACTGAATATAGACAGCATCTTCAGTAAAGAGAAGAGGAAACCGTGCGGCTACACGCCGCTGAGCCCTTTCTCAGAAGATGCAGGTAAGGGCGTGACAGAGAGGCGTGTTTGGGGTGGAACCGGAAATGCACTTCTTGTGCATCATTAATGGCCGCCTAGAAATTGCATCATTAATGGCCGCCTAGAAATGTCTGCAGGAGGATTACGAAGGGGCATCTAGTCTATTTATTCCGCCCCCGCTGGAGAGTCTGAGAAAGAACTGTGACTTTTTGTGTGCGCTGTTTGTGTGTTCTGTACTCTGCTGCCCTCCTAACGGCAACTCTGGCCCTGTAGACATGGCAAGGGAAGCTTTTGCTGCAATAGGTCTTCAGTGCTCCTGGCATGCCTCTTCACTGGAGTATGCAAAAGGCAGGGCTTGTGTACTGTACTGTACTGTAGATCTGTCTCCTTAGGGTTGAGGAAGAGCAGAACGCACCTGCTTGTCACAACCACTCGTGAGAACGGCTAATGATGGGATTGGCAGGCAGAGGAACCACAAGTACCTTAAATTAGGGTTTGCCTCTGACAGCAGAGCTCCGGAGCGGTAGGGCAAGGTCGAGTCTTCAGTCAACAAATCCCAGCGTTCCCTGTTCTTCTTTCTGAAAAGCAAAGAGAAGTGTAGTCCATTATACTCTGTTATATATGGAAGGGGTATAAAAAGTTCAGCCAGATTTCTGCAGAAGGAATGGTGAAGACAAATGTCCATCCAGCTCGACCCTGTTCCTCCTTGGAAAGAGGAGACCTGCGCAATCAGTGCCTGGGACTGGGGTGGGTAAGGGAAGCCCTTGCTGACTGGAGTGGTGGTCAGATGGGCGGGAGTGGCAGAACCCACAGCCAACAGCGAAGTACAAGCATTCAGGAACGGTAATACTTTTATTGCAGAGCTATAGGTGCAGTAACATAGGCACGGTTAAGAATGGCGGCGGCCCCATGGGCATAATAGGATATAGGGTATTCGTATGCAAACCCCCCCCCCCATAGCACTGGCCAATTAGGCACCCTCCCGCGCGCGGGATAAAGCTTGGAGACTGTTAGGTAGCTGAAGCTGAGAACGAACACTCTCCCATGGCACCTAGGGCAGTCCCAGACACCACAACACCCTCCTGCACATCTGTATAGATAAGCGTTTCGGTGCACAGCAGAGACAGCACAGAAAGGAATGTAGTAGCCATTAACCTGAAAGGAAAGCAATAGCAATTAACCAGACACAGACCAACCTCCCCAACCTTCATGGCAGCCTAGCTGACAGGGAGGAAGCACTAAGAGGGGGCTGGAAAACGTGGGAAGTCTGCAGAGAGAGAGAGAAGGATGGACACCCATGGAGGGATATCTGACAAGAAGAACAGAATCCGAGGTTGGACCACGAGGCAAACGGGCGTAAGAAAGGAGTGGGGGAAACAAGGCAACGCAAGTGGTTAGGGTTAGATTTGTGGTTCTGTCGCTGAGAGCAGAATGCCAGCACCCCACATCCCATCTGTGTTCAACTTGGGAGAATAGCTCCAGGCGGTCGGCCGTGTTGGTCTGAAGTGGGCGCGTAGCCATCGCGGGGCCCGTGGGGGCTGGCCCCCCCCCCACGGTTTTTACAGGCCCCTCCCCAACCCTCGGCCCCCCCTCCCTCCCTCCCTCCCTCTGCCCTCGCTGTCCTGGGCGCATGTCAGGCAGGGAGAAAAATGCCGCCCCCCTCCCCCCCCCGCACACTTGCTGAAGTGTACAAAAGCTGGGGGGGGTTGAACACCAGCTTAAGGGGAAATGGAGACGGGTGTCTCTGTCTCGGGCATCCCCACGTTACAAGATGGGAGACGCCCGCCCCAGAGATGCCCGCCTGCCTGCCCTTGGCGGACAATGGTTGCTCCCATGGAGCCATCTGGCTACCGAGGCGGCTGTGAGCACCCCCTGGATTGACTCGCCCAGCAAACGCAGTTAGGACTTGCTCCCGAGTAGACGCACCTCACTTGCCGCGCCAGATCGCAGTGCCCGGGCTAGGCAGCCCCCCCCCCCGACCCACTCCCACTCAAAGCCAAATAATGCTTCCAAAGGGGAAGATTCTCCATGGATCGAGGCTTGCAAAGTTTTGCATGCCCAACACACACTCGGAGCTGCGTGTGTACATGGGGGTGTTTTTTGGGGGTGTGTGTGGAGTTTAAGCCTTTTTTGGAAGGCTGACATGTGCCGCCTGCTGCTGCCACGGCCGTTCTTGCTGCTGCCGGGAGGTCAGAGGGGAGGGCTGCTGAGCGGGGACTCCTGTCGCCCCACGCCTCCCTCCCGGGTGCCTGCCTGCCTGCCGCAGGCCACCCGCCACCCCAGCTCCACGCCTTAGCTCTCCCCAGAGACCTGGGTACGCGGGTGTGGCCAGCCAAGTCCCCCACCCCCCACCCCCATCGTACCAGAAGCCGCACAGGAGGGGGAAAGGGAGGGGATATTTGAACCCCCCACCTGCCTGCCCCATTCAGTCGTTGGGTGCCAGCAGGAGCCTTTAGCTGGCAGAAGCGTGGAGCCCGAGGCGGGCAGCCCTCATCCCATTAAGGCACAAACGGAGGACCGTCTCCTTCAGCTGTTCTCGCCGACCTCCCCCTTCTGAGGAGGAGGAGGTGTGCCTTTTGCACACGAGAGCTCATCCCCTGAATAGACCTCTGTTGTTCTTAAAGGTGCTCGACTGGACTCTGACTCCGTTCTACCACTTGGAAGAAGTTATACACATTTCAGTGTATCATTGAGAAGAATATGTTGATACTGAAAAGCAAAGGAGTAAGAAAGAAGGTTTCTGCCTCTGTGACAAAATAGCAAATTTTCTTTGCTATTTCTTTATTGGTAGTGCCAGGAGCAAAATAGGTTTTTAACTTAGAAGAGGAGGTTAAATATCATAGTTGTTATTTCAGAATGGGCTAATTTTAAAAAGGCAGTTTTAAAGCTGTGATTCAAACCATGTAAATCACTAGTTCTGCTTTTCATATATTTTCTGGACAAGCTTACGCATTAATTGTTCGAAAGCAAGAAATTGCAAGTAGAGAAATAGGTACCACTTCAGTGGGAAGGTAACAGCATTCCGTGCGCCTTGGCGTTTAGTCATGCCGGCCACATGACCATGGAAATGTCTTCGGACAGCGCTGGCTCTTCGGCTTGGAAACGGAGATGAGCACCGCAACCCTAGAGTCGGACTCGACTGGCTTTCGAGCAAGGGAACCTTTACCTTTACCTTTTATAGCAATGAAATGTCCTGGTTTACAACTAAATGAACTCTTTATACATCCTCTGAGAATAAATTGCATATCTTTTGAGCTATAGAATTATTCACTAGAGACAAGTTGGGCAGTTCTGAAACTGATGGATTTTGTTTGACTCTCTAGTTATACTTGCAGACCCAAAGCAAGGTTACTTCTTTGACAGCTTGATGCTTAACATCAAGATGCTTAACATTAAGATTGTTTTATTCTGTTTTTAACTGTTTTAACCTTGGCATATGTGCCTCTTCTGTTAGCCACCCTGAGCCCGCTCTGGGGAGGGTGGGGTATAAATTTAATAATAAATAAATAAAAATAAATAAAACATTCTCCAGAAGGTGGTAGCTCCTGGTAGAAGCTGGTTTATCCCTGAGAAGGAAAGTAGAGGCACAATCTGTCCAGATGAGTGCTGACTTCTCACTGTCTTCTGTGGGAGAATAAAGCATGAGATTAACAGGCTCAACTGGAAATTGTTTTAACTTAACTTCTGCCCTCCATGTTATTAGTTTGATGGTGATAAATACAATTAATTGCCATATTTATGAATGGCCTTGGAAGTCAGTTATTTCCCCAAATCCTGCATAACTTACTTCAACAGCTTGTTTCAGAGACAGCAACAACTAACCATTGTTTGCCATGTGAATAAGCCTAAGGACATTTGTTTCCTCCTTCCCTCAATGACAGTGATTTAATTAGATTCTTCCATGGCAGGCAGTGTTTTGCCATTACCTCCAAACTGGCAGATTGTGGTTTGAACTTCCCTAAAAACTGGGGGATCTTTTAGAGTTCAAACAGAAGTATCTTTAAAGGAACTTACAGAAAAATCATTGGAAACTTTGGAAACTTATTCCCTTTCTAATGCTAAGTTATGAAGGGCAAACCACAAATCTTGGTGCTTGGACTGGCACCAATGCACATGAAGGCTGCCCAGGGCTCTGGGCTCTTTAGCTGAGCATCTGTATCTTCTTTCTTCCCTCCCCTTCGGTTGGAGCCAGGGGGTCTGCTATGCCAGGACTTGCTTTTACCACCAGGGCTTCGCCCCAAAAATGATAGATGATGGATGGTGTATGAGCATTTATAAAGCTCCTTTAATACTCAGAAGGCAATCATAAGCAGTATTGCCTAGCCATCTAACAAACTCCATACAAAAGCAGTTTCAAGCTGCACCTTCTGTAGAAAATACCAGCTATGTCCCTACAGCATCTTCAGGACAAAGCAAAGATACATGCAGGAGCTCTCAGCAAAGACGAAGACCACACTCTCACAGTGTGTGCTTGTGTGTGTGTGGGGGGGGGGGAGGTATTCTGGTATGATAACAGATGGAAGTTCTTTCAGTACTGAAGAGAGGACATGCAATAGATGGGGAGTGTCAAGGCTGGGGAGGGTGTTGCAGATTGGAGCGTCTGAGTCATCATTGCCTGGGGCAGTTTCTTCTCACCCGGGGCCCAGACTCACCCGGGGTCCTCTTTGCGGGGGGGGGGGGGGGCTGGCTGTCCTTGCCAGGCAGAGGGGGTGGGCCTTAAGGGATCTTTAAAGCTTTCCTTTCCCAAATGTTCACTGATCGCTACTTCCACTTATCCACGAAGATCTTTTCTACGTTGCTTAACCTCAAGAAGGCCTGCTAGAAACTCAAAAAAAAATGTGTATAGAGGCTGATAGAGTGAAATGTGACTCTTCTTTAATCTTAATTTTGCCAGCTAAAGAATTTACAGAGGATGAGTTAAAGGAGTCAGTGACTCAAGAAACGAAGCCAAGCCAGTCCGGCAGGTACAAGCACTGGGCTCTGGGTCGTGGGGTGCACCACGTGACGGACCAGCATCCTCGTCTGATTCAGAGGATGGAGTCTGGCTACGAAAGCAGTGAGCGCAACAGCAGCAGCCCCGTTAGCCTGGATATGCCTCTTTCAGAGAGCTCAAGCACTTCCAGGTAGGCGCCAGACTTCCTTTGAGCTCCTGTTCAACACCCTAAAGGCCGGTTCGCAGGCTGTCCTCCTGATGAAGCGGCGCATGATTTAATTGTTAACTGCTGTAACAGCTTATGTTAAGCGGCAGCCCATACATTACAGTAATCACTAAATGATGTACAGAAGCTTCCTGGATTTTGCGGTGGCTGCTATACAGCTGCTATTTTAGAGCTGCTTTTCATTATCCAAGCAAGAAGTCACTGTCACTAATCACTCCCTCTCTGTTGTGGGTGACTCTCATGTTGCAGAGGGAAACCAAGAAGTCATTAGCCAGATTTTTCTTTCTTCATTGTCCTTTTTGTTTTCCTCTTTGTTGCTTTCCCCCGTTCTGCCTTCCCAACTGTAGGCAAGAACAGCTGACAAGAGAGAGAACAAGGAAGGAAAGAAGGTGGGGAATAACTTCCTTGATCTTCTTTGTGGTCTCTGTGTGTCACACCCTTGGGGCCCCGGGTGCCTGCGCTGACCCTGGGCGGTGACTTCTAGGCTCCAAAAGGGATCTTTCGCGCCCCCTTCCCTGCGCATGCCCAGGAACTCCACTGCACATGCTCAGGATGGGGCACAGAGATCCCGCCAGTGCTCTTCTGACTGCCGCGCGAACAGGGCATGTTTCTTCCTTGCTCCAGTCGGTGAGCTTCTCCCTTTCTTCAGCTCCGTTCTTCTCTCTACAAAAAACCCCAACCCAATCAGACTTACTATTTCTCCTCTATTTAGTCCATGTGGGGGTTCTTCAAATGGTATTCCTGCTGTAGGAGCAAACTAGCTCCAACTGACGGCCATTCCCTGTGCCTGCTGTGCCCCTGGGTGAGGCCCACAGGACGGACACTTGCCCCCACTGCGCTAAATTCTCCAAGCAGACCAGGAAAAACAGCTGCTCGTTTGCAAGCTGCGCTGCTGGAATCAGCCCTGGCCCCACCCAAAATGGCCACTAAGTCTGCACTGGCCGAGGGACCGACTGACCAGTTACCAGGCCCGGCTTGACACTCTACTCCATCGAAGCCATCGACATCGACCCCGCCCAGTGCCAGGGCATCGACATCGAAAAGGTCAGGCTCGAGTGTAAAGTCCTCCTCGGACTCTCCTGCAAAGAAATGCAAAAAGGGAAAGGTCCGTGCCCTGAATAAGGGCAAAGAGGCATGACCAGCCAGCAGCACCAACCCATGAGTCCCACACAGGACTCAGTGCGTCACCGTACAGATGCGGAGGCTGTGTCATGATCACCGGACCCGATCTCCATCCAATCAGCATCGACTCAACAACAGACGGATTGGGTGAAATCCCTGATATCGAAACCCCACCACCTTGCATCGCAACACCTCCGTCTCTCTGAGTCTGAGGTAGATGAGATGGATCTCACTCAGCGAAGCGATCACCACCCCTCCTCATCAGAACTGACAAACCGAAACAGCCACCTGCACCCATCGCCATCCATTGTGAGGCGCTTGTGACATCCTGTAGCACGACACTCCAGACCGAGAGCCAGGTGCCATCCACGATGCCCAACTACCTCAGAGGCAAGCACCGCCAACGTCGCCCTGGGATCAGAGGCAACTCCGGCTCTTACACGGTGCCTGTCCTCCCCCCTTTCTGTGGCTCCATTTGGCGGGAGCCCCTGGCGTGTTCATGAACTTGATTAATGAAGTCCTGCACAAGCATTTGTTCAAGGGAGTGGTTTGTTATCTGGATGATGTGTTAGTTTATTCCCAAGACCTGGACTCCCATATAAAACTAGTGCGGGAAGTACTAACTGCCCTCTGTGACAATCAGTTGTATGCCAAGCTGTCTAAATGCGAGTTCCACAAAACGGAAATAGACTTTTTGGGCTACCGGATCACCCAGCAGGGGTTGGGGATGGACCCCAAGAAAGTCCAGGACGTACTGGGGTAGGAACCACCCTGGACTAGGCGCCAGCTTCAAGGTTTCTTAGGATTTTCCAACTTTTATTGCACCTTCATCCCCAATCTTGCCCAGGTGTCCCTACCCATAACCGACCTGCTAAAGACTAAGGGGAAGGGGCCCGACGCCACAAAAGGGGGGAGTAAAGTGGACTGGTCCCCTGACTGTCAGTGGGCTTTTGAGAACTTAAAAACTCTATTCACCTCCGAGCCCATCCTCCGCCACCCCAATGAAAATGAAAAAGTCATAGTCCTGGTGGACATCTCCGATGTCGCCATGGGAGGGGCCATTTTACAAAAGGGGGGTGGTGGCAAGTTGCACCCCATAGCATATGTGTCCAAGATGTTCTCGGGGGCGGAGAGGAATTGGACTGTTTGGGACAAGAAGGCTGCGACTGTTAAATTGGCGTTCACAACGTGGCTCCATTGGCTCAAGGGGGCCTGCGTTCTGTTTGAGGTGTGGACCGACCATAAAAACCTACAGGCACTCTGAACCCCTCGCCGCCTTAACGACAAGCAGGTACGATGGGCTGAGTTCTTTTCTCGGTTCCGGCTCACTATTAAATATCTCCCAGGACAGTCTAATTTCTTAGCCAATGTGCTGTCCCACCTCCCGCAACATGTGAGTCAGAGAGAGGAGGTTACCAGCACTGTTTTCTCCCCAGCACAGCTGGGAAAAGCTGTGATGACACGTAGCCAGACTAAGAAAGGAGAGACTGTGAAAAGCCCGGGATGGCTTGAAAAGTTTAAAGCTGCTTTCTCGGCCCAGGATCTGGAACTGGTGGTGCGAGAAGGCTTGCAGCATGAAGAAAATGGCACTTGGTGCAAAGAGGAGAAAGTTTATGTGCCCATATTTTTGCGAGGGGACATTTTGTCTCAAAGCCATGATAATAAACTCTCTGGACATTTTGGGTACCTGAAAACCTTGCACCTCGTACAAAGGCAGTTTTGATGGCCTGGCATGCACAAAGACATTTCAACTTACGTGGCCACCTGCCAGATTTGTATCATGAGTAAATGGAGGGGGGAAGTCCCGGGGAAGCTACAGCCTTTGGAGACCCCCGAGCGTCCCTGGTCCATGATTTGCCAGAGAGTCAAGGCAAAACTGTTATCTGGGTGGTAGTGGACCTATTTTCCAAGCAAGCCCACTTCGTACCTTGTAAAAGCATACCTAATGCTAAGCAGTTAGCCACCCTTTTCCTGCAACATGTTATCAGATTGCATGGTTTGCCAAAAAAGGTTGTGAGCGACCGTGGGACGCAATTTGTTGCTAAATTTTGGAAGGAATTGTTGAAACTCCTAGGGGTTGAACGAGGGTTAAGCAGTAGCCACCATCCCGACACTGAGCGCACTAATCAAATCCTGGAACAGGTGCTACAGTGCTATGTAAATTATCAACAGGATGACTGGGTGCCCCTACTACTGTTCGCAGAATACAGCTAAAACAATTCCTTACACAGTTCAATAGGAATGAGTCCCTTCATGGCGGTCTATGGGTATGAGGAAGGGCCCCTCCCCATGGTAGACTTGGCCAAACCCATCACCGGGGATGTGCAGATGTGGTGGTCTAATGTAACCAAGAACTGGGAGGTCCTGCAAAAGACTTTGGCGAAAGCAAAAGAGGACTATAAAAATTTGCTGATGGCAAAAGATGCCCAGAATGTGTGTACATTTCAACTAAGTACATTAAACGGTTGCAACCACATCGGAAGCTGGGGTGGAAATATGTAGGGCCTTTCAAGGAAGTGCATGTCATTAACAAAGTGGCTGTTGAACTTGACTTCCCTAAATCTCTACGTTCTTTGCATCCTGTGTTTCATTATAGACTTCTGAAGCAGGACCCAGGACCTTTGCCCTGGGCGCACAGACCTCCAGCTCCGCCTCCTCTTCTGATAGATGGGGAACTCCACCATGTAGTTGATGAAATTCTGGACTCTCGCTTGTCCCGGGGCGATTGCAATACTTAGTTAAATGGAAGGACTTTGGGCCTGAGTAGAATGAATGGGTGACTGCTAAGCATGTCCAAGCCCCCATTTGCTTTGGAAATTTCATCACCTCTACCCTGGCAAGCCTGGGGGTGGGGTATGTCAGACCCAGGCATGAAAGGCGCTTTTGTAACCTTGCTTGCAGGGGACATCTGCCTTCTGTCTTTCCTTTCCTGTCTCATGCCCTCTCTGACATGAGATTCCGTGGGGGGGGGGAGTGTGAACCAACAATTGTTGTGGTTTAGGGCTGTGCCATAATTGTAACTCTTCTTGAAGCAACAGCCCCCAAGGAGCAACTGGGTTTTCTCACGGGAGTGACCTTCGGCGAAGATAAGACTTTGGGAATAGCTAGCTGGTTGTGTAACTATTAGAACCGTTAGTGGGCTGGTGTGTATGAAGTATGCATGGAATGTGGGCGCTCACCTTTACTTTCCATCTCCTGCCCTGGACTAGCCAGTCCTAACAAGGGCGTTCATCTCTATGGTTAACCAAATCTTTCCAATAAACCTTTTAACTGATATTGGTCGAAGAGTGGTTTTACAGGGGAGCCTGACACCAAGTCCAGATGTGACTGATACGGTCTGACATTGTGCAGCTTGACACATCTGTGGCTGTAGACCTTCTCATGACCACGGTCATGCTTCAAGATGCAAAGCATCCCATGGGACAAACCCGTGTCTACCCCTATATCCTCAAGATGGCTGGAACACACGTATAAAGTTCTGGAGTTGGGAGTGGAGTTTTTGTTCTCTCATCCCGAACCCAACTCCTTGGTGGTAAATTCCTCTTCTAAAAGTAAACACACCCATTCTGCACCTTCTAAGAAGGAAGGGAAGAAACTGGATGTTTTTGGCAGGCATTTCTATTCCATGGCAACATTAGGGATCAAGAACGTGCATGCATGAGTTGCTACCGATACTCCTTATGGGAGCAAATTTCCGAGACCAGTGCTAGTCTTCCCACAGACAAGAAGATGCCAGCTAGGAAAGTACAGAAAGAAGGCACTCCGACAGCACTCATGGCACTCAGGTCCACAGCCTTGCGCCCTGATGCGAGAGCTTGCGTCGAAGAACTGCCCTCTGATGG